GTAACATCACCTTATTTATATATGGCAAGGTCTCGTTCCTTCGATCGGTCCAACGAGCGACGGTCGCCAATGGAAACGGGGTTCGCGATATCCGGCGACGTTATACCGGGAGTCGTGTGTGGTCTAATCTTCTAGGTCGGTGTTTTCTTATCGGATATTTTTTTTGTTCTTTCTTTTTTCTTTTTACGTGCCACGAGTCCAAGCGCAATCACGATCGCGTTATCGCGGCACCGTCAATGCCAGCCGAGGCCGTGGATTTGTATCGCGACTCGCGTTATTGTCTCGTTGCATGCGCGCTTACGTACACTATCGCGTATTATAATCGTTCACGGTGTCTCGGCCGATACCGGAAGCTATCATTGTATATCATAATCGCTGCAATCCCGCGCTCGGTGAAACTTCAGAAACACGAAAACGATGAATTGAAGGCTGTTCATAGTCCGTTCTTATTTCAGAATTATCTTACGTAATATTTAAAAATGTTAATATTGTTTCGTAATTGACATTCATATCTTAAGACGATCTTAAATGTGAAAATCGACTACGAATACCGGCCGAAGTGAGTTGGAGCTAGTCAAATCGCTTTGACGGCTAACTGGTCGATAATGAGATATTTTTAGCCGCGTCACTGCGTAATTTTCTTTTTATAAGAATACAAAAAAATCTTAGCGCGAAAGGAACGGAAGGTGGTGTAGGTCTGAAATAGACCCAAAAAAAAAAAAGGTTATTTATAGTTAGCCTTTATTTATGTTAAATTAGACGTGATGTATGCAATAGATTGTTGTGTGTTTGCCTTAATTATATCTTACAGCGTTAAAATTAAACGGTGTACAGATACGCGGATCGAAATGGGATGGGAAAGTTCCGTTTCAATCTGACCGCGCAAAGGATAACGTTAGAGATAAGAATCGATTTTATAACATTGCCCCATTTTCTGCGTTCCGTAATAGTTAGCCCATTTTGCTGTTCTCCTTTCCTTAAAGGAGGGAAGGGCGGGGGGAGGGGGGGGAGTGATAGCGCTCGGGACTCTGCGT